GGAATGGCCTCCGATCCAACCTAATAGCAATGGCCTCCGACCTAATACGAATGGCCTCCGATCCAACCTAATAGCAATGGCCTCCGATCCGACCTAATAGCAATGGCCTTCGATCCAACCTAATAGCAATGGCCTCCGACGAGCTGAGTACGAAGTGAAAACTTCTTGCGCCGATCAGCACTCTGAACCTTCTTGCGGATCAGGGTGTCTCCGGTGAGCAGCAGCGCCAGGCAGCGGTTTTCATGGCGCCATATCCTCAAGGTCCGCCATGTATTGGAGTGAACCGGCTGCGAGCGAGAAATCTTGCGCTACTCAAAGAAGAATGCGTTGCACGTTGATCAGGATCACCTGGGTCTCAGAAGCTGCCGAGACCGCTTTGAGGAGGTCTTCTGCGCTGTTGCTATTACTGAGACCTGACTTCTGAATAATGGATTCATCACGAGCGCGGATTTCGCCAACCTTGTAAAACGTATAGCGGCTGTCGGAACCAGCGACCAAAACGACATCCAGCCTTAGGCCCGAACTTCAGGGTCTTTAGGCTTTTGCAGCTCTACAATTTCTCCAGCCCGGGGCGCGCGCAGAACGAGATGCGCGAGGAAAGTCGAGTTGGCAATGCCAATGTGCCAAGCGCTTGTGTCAGACACGCTTCGCACGGGGCAGCAAGTTGCTGAGCGGACCAGCCGAAAGCGCCCAGGCAAAGGGCAGACAGGGGGCAAGAGCGCTTGACAGGAGGAGGAGGAGGAGGAAGAGGAGGAGGTATAACGGCGCACACGGCCTGCAGGGCTCATCGCCTTTGAAATCGTCACCGATGCCTGGCGAATTCCTTGCTACAGGTTGCGGGGGACACATTGAAATCAGAGCGGGCAAATACGACGCGCTGGAAGCAGCCCACGCGCGGGGCTTTCACGGATAGTTTGGGGCTGTCACCGTTGTTAACAAGGAAACTGAAGATTGGAATCCTGTTGGCACAGTGAACCGCGGAGGGCGGGGCCGAGTTCAACAAGCAATGTAAACCCAGCCTCGTGGAGCGGAGATTGCGGGCAGAGTCCCGCGAGATCTTCGTGGCCCGCCGCCCTGATGTCATGCTGCCCACGCACCGCAAGCCTCACGCCCACGTCTCTGTGGCTGGCTGATTCCACTGGCCACTTTCGAACGCTCTGATAGCTGGCTGGCTGATTCCGCCGGATACTGATTCCGGCAACTAAGGGGCCCGGCAAAGATCAAGTAGACCCTCTTGCCTGGCCTCGACTAGTTGAAGAACTTCTAAGTTAGACAGTTAGACCTTCAAAAAGTACAAAGACAGTCGCCAGACGCAGTCTCGCAAGTAGAGCTATGGAATGTTTATGTTGCGGTACTAGCTCCGCTTCAAAGTCGCTTGGACCGTACATCTCCACTGGTGCGGAGAAGGCCTCAGCTCATTCGGCGGCCGCTCCGCCAGCAACACAGGCGGCGCAAGCTGGCGTGCAACCAAGTCATCAAACTCATCCCGTCGCGAGAGGATGAGGACTCACGGCACTGGAAGGGCCAAGCCAGCCAGCTCCAGGGCAGCTATGACTATGACCCTCTTGGATACCCATTCCGGAAGTAAAGCCAGGGAGCACTGACCTCGGTGATCACCTCCAAAGCCACCGATCCAAGCCTTCTCCTCTCCTCAGTGGCTTTTGCGTCAGTCCAGATCCTCAGCGGCTCAGTTGAGGTGAACGTTGCACTGCCTGGCCTCCTCAGTAAGTTGAGCCAAATGGCCGAAGGGGAAGGCCCCTACCCACGTGACTCCTAATCTCATTGTTACTTGCACTGCGTGTTTCACAGGAAAGTATCTTTCGCGGATCTTTCACCGCCTCATCGCAATCAATCTAATTACAGTAATCTACTTGACATGAACAGCTGAACTAACTAATCAAGCATGACAAACTAGCGATTGGCATCTCGCAGCATGACCTACACGCAAGGTTGAGAGTTACTGCTCTTGGGTCACGTGCAGCATCCACACGACAAACATTGAGGAAGATCCTGGACAAGGCTCAGAATAGAGTCATGTAACTCATGTAACTCTGATACACGCTACCAACACGAGGTAGTGCAGTTGGGTGAGTGCGCTGAGGCTCAAGCTGGAGCCGAGACTTTAGCGGCACATTCGCGGAGCGCTCGAAAGTGCATATCATGCACAGAAATCTGCACAACTTGAGCTGCGGATCGTTACCCCACTGTCAGGGCCGCGCGAGGACAAGTTAAGTTCCCAGTTGGTTAGTCTGCGACAGTGAGGAATGGAATCGGAGAATCCTTTGCACGGTGAGGGCTGCGCAAGGGAAGCGTTGAGACTTCAGTGTGTTACTTCATATTACTGTAGTTCATATTACTGGGGACACTTCTTGTATTTGCACCGTGTGTCGGAGACAGGAAATGGCATCACATATTATGAAGACCTTCAATAAATCTGTCGCGGAAAAGAATACTTTCGTGAACTTCATCACGGATCTTTCGGCATCTAGAAGGTCATTTCATATACAATAAAACCCCTTACACGCCCCTTTAGATCAACTTATGTTTTTGTTTGGCTTTGAATCTACCTCCCCAAGGAGTTACTTGTTGGTTTTCGTGGATTCTACCTCCATAAGGAGTTAGATCAGTTAGATCAATTGTTTACATCCCTTTCTTTGATCACACCTCCCTAAGGATTTGGATCACTTTGATTTTCTCTTGAATCTTCTCCCTAAGGAGCAGATTCTTCTTCTTCTCCTCTGGAACTCATCTCCCTAAGGAGTTAGTTCCATCTTTCTTCCTCTCTCTCTCTCTCTCTCTCGCTCCTTCTGTCCTCCCTCTGGTTCCACCTCCCTAAGGAGTTAGTACCCCTTTATTCTTCTTCCATCTAAGGAGCTGGCTCTTCTTCTCTTACTTCCTTCTTGAATTCACCTCCATAAGGAGTTGATTCATCTTCCGTCCTGTTTTGCGAATCGACCTCCCAGATCCAACAAAGGTTCTCCATCATCTGTCATCGTTGTTCATGAATCCCATGTTCAGAAATGGTTCTATATAGCTCTCTGTGTGGGGGGGGGAACTATCAACATGACCTGTCGACCTGTCTTCTTCAACAAGTGCCACACTTCTGCCCCATGGGGCTTAAGGCTCAGAGCCCCACGCCTTTTTTAAGAGGCAAGCCGGTAAGCTGATTCTTTTCACACCGCGTGCACCTTGCACTCTGTCAGGAGATGTTCAGCTGTCAGAATGAAAAGGTGGGCCCATGGAAAAAAAGAAGCACTGTTCCTTCAGAATAAGCTTCAGAGTTGAGGTGTTTTGATGCGGAGCCAATGCAGGAAGCTAGGAGCAGCTAGGAAGCAAAAACACCTAGGCTTTCCACAGGCGATGCCTCTGGCCGAATTGTCCAAGGTACAAAACAAATCTGTTGCAGACTTGGCAGTTGACACTTGCTTTGTTTCAAGTGCTGCTAAGGATCGTGACACTCGAGTTGAATGCAATACCGGCACTCATGATCTTTAGGTTGGGATTCTTCACCAATCTCTTGAAGGCCAAAGCATGATGTGAGTCTGTTCTTGCAGAGCTTTATATATGTTCTTGCAAAAGCCAGACTCCCAACCCGGTCTCAGTTTCGAAAGGATCAGCATACTTTGCGGAAGGCACGAATTAGATTGAGAAACCAATAAACATTCTTTGCATTCAGGAGGCCTGGCAGATTGGCAGTGCAACATCGAGGACAACTGACAGGTTGCCAGTGATCAAATGATTAAGTCTAAGTACGGCTTTCCAATAAATTGAACGGCTCTTCTTCCTGATTTCAAACATCTCATGGCAAGGGGAAGATGGTGCAGTTGCCAAAGCAAACTGTTTTTGCAGCAATTTTGAGTCTTCGTGTTTTTGGCGCCTTTGGTGCAGGTGGCCCCTGTGGAGGTCGTGCAATGCGCTTGGCCAATGGGGAGGCCTTTGGCTGATCTGGACCCATGCCTTGTCCTGCCATCATCAAAGCAAATCTATCTCCAGCCCACCCTACATCCTCTGAGCCCATAGTGAGCATGTTTGCAATTCCTTTTTAGATTAACCCGAGGAATGTATCTTAGGTTGGAGGCCATCGCTATTAGAAACAAAGAAAAAAACAAAAAGGAAGATCAGATAGGTCCAATATAGTTTGCTAGTCGGTTGGATTCAAAGCATGCGGCTCCTGCAGGCCCAAGCTGCATCATGGGGTCTCCCGTCATGGTGGGAAGCCCTCGAGCTGATAAGGGCCTTGTGTTTACAGCAGACTGTCTTGAACACAAGCCTTCAGCTGTCACATTTCGGTTCATGTGGTTTTATGATGTTTTATGAAACTGTACCCAGAGTCCACACCGCATGTTGAAAGCCATTGCCAGTGGATTTGCAAAACCAAATCTTCATTTCAAAGTCTCGGTGCTTCCAAGCAGCCCTCCCATTGAATTTCCATCCAATCCTGGAAGGCCATATCCTGATGAGCGGATTTGCTTCCACATTGAATTCCTCTAAAAACTCTGCAGCTTCATCCGCCTTTAGACAACTACCCACCACGAACACTCTCTGCGTGGCCTGGAGGTCCAGGCAAAGGTTGCCCAGTGTGCGGGTCCTGTCAGTCAAAAGGATCAGAAACACAAACGCTAACTTGCGCAGCAGCGCAACGTATAATGCATCGGTTGAGTTATGCGGAACCACTTCACAAGAAATACAGTACTAATAGTGACATAGTGGATCAAAAGAAATGGACCGCGCAACACTCCACAGAAACCTTTGGCATACTGCACAACATTGTTCCATCTTGTTTCCCTGTGTCTGCACTGGCAGCTCGCAAGCTGCCAACCCCAGCTGTACTTATGATTGATTGGTCTTGTCTTATCGATTTCAACCAAACCACGTGGTTTTCCAGTGTTGCGCCGGTTTGCAATCAAGATTTTTTGCCATGTATCTGCAGGAATTTGATGAGTTCTTAACTCAGCTAACCTAACAACGACTTATCGAAACCACCAGCCGTACAAATGAAAACTCTTCGCAACCACTGAGTTGTCCTTCAGCGTAAGGGCAAGTTGCAATGGTTGTTGCGCCCGCTTGTCCACAACTTCCTGCAAGAACCAAAGTGTTTCAAGCACACTCCAGTGCTATTAACTTTTGGCGAATGGGTTGGAATTACAAGACATTCAGTTCCCCCATAAGACAGAATAGGCAAGAATAATGAAGTTGGATGGGCATCAGGGTCTCCAACACAACACTTCGAGCTTGCGGGGTGGTATGAGACTGGACAAGTGGTGGAGGAGAGTATACAGTAATTATCACAAGCGAGGGAGGGAGGGAGGGAGGGAGGGAGGGCTGCAGAGAGAAAAACAAAGAAAGAGAAACTTAAAGAGAAAGAGAGAGAGAGAGAGACAGAAAAAAGAAAGATAGGAGGGCGAGTGCCGCGCGCGCTTGTGTGCTTTGGACGGCGCGCTCTGGCGTGCTCTGAAATACGCTCCAGAAAGGCGCACTCAGGGCGCGCTCTGCAGAGAGAAAGACAGAGAAAGAGAAACTTAACGAGAAAGAGCGAGAGAGTGAGAGAGAGAGAGAACGAGAGAGAGAGAGAGAGCGAGAGCGAGAGAGAGAGAGCGAGGGAGGGAGGGAGGGAGGGAGGGAGAAGACAGCTGTGGATACTCCGTGAAGCAGATTGGGACGCACAAGTGTGATGTTCGGTAATCACCTTCTCCTCTAGCTGACCAGGCTGGTTAGGTTTCTCTCAGGTCGGCAGATGTGCACGGACGCCGTCAGCTTGTCGCCGCGTTTCGGATTCGTGCGTCGCCAATTTGGAACCTTTGGAGTCTTTGGAAGTTTTAGAGACGTCGAGGGCTTTTGCAACTCACCTGAACCCTTAGGTTTTCACTTAGGCTGGCGTGTGGCACCGCATTCACATCAGTATGTATTTCTATAAGTCTGTCTGGCTTCATGCCAGCCAGCCCAGGATGACCCCGCAGAGTGGCCCCTGTGGACCCTGTCGAACGTATCCCCTGCCCGGATACAGAGCAGCTCGCAGCGAGCGTAGGAGGCTTATGCCAAAGTTATTTGCCAAGACTTGCCGAAGTATTGAATTCCAAGCTGGCTCATGCCTTTACGTGACCGCAGCGGTCCAAGCATGGCTTAACGCCTCAACGTGGTCAGAGCGACCAAAGCTTTTTTGAGGTTCGTTGGAACCTGCCACGAGGTGGTCGTATTTGTGGAGGTAGAGGTGGGAGGTGACTTGGATTGAGCTGTGAAGGTGGTGTGGGTGGGAAAGTTGGGCGGGGCACAGGTGTGTGCGTGTTTATAGGATGAGCGCGATCGAGGTCGAAAGGCGAGACCTGGTCGAGGGACAGAGATTTGAAGTGAGTCTCCCGTCGTCGGTGTAGTAGCGGAGGTCCCCAAAGAGGTGGGGCGGAAGGTGCAGGTTCCGAAGGTTGAGTGTGAAGAACACGCGTCATAGTCCGGAGCGTCACGGTCACGAGATCCGGGGGACTCCGGACGGCCACCGGGTCGACGACGACGGTGGGAGGATTCGGAGGAGGCGCGACGTTCCATGGCTGAAAAGGATCAAAGTGTCAAAGGAAAACACGTAAGAAACTAACAGGAAATGAAACCGCAACATGTGGGGGAGAAACTGGATCCAAGGAGATTGAGAAAATCAGTGCGCGGTGGAGGGAGTGTAAATTGAGATCGACAGGGCTGGAGCCGAAGAACCACATGAAGTAGAAAAATACAGTGAGAAAGAAGACGGTGTGCAACACGAGGGCGCCACGTTGTCCAAGAGGTAAGCATCAAAAAATCATGAAGAAAAGTTGGTCTTTTGAGATCGATGCGGTGGCGAAGATGTGGGTGAGACGATCCAACTAGGGACTAGGGTTCAGGCGTGAGCGAGAACGTGGATCTAACCCGTCCTACCCATACGCACTCGCCCTCTTTCTCGTTCAACCCACGGTGCAGACCCCTTTGGGCATCATTGCACTTTTGATCTCACGACGTTCTCTTCTGGAGTCGATTGCACACTCCTTGGAGATACTACACAAGATGCCTTACACCACGGACATCCCTGCTCACCTCCCTGACGATTTGCAACAGATTTTGCGCGATCTCCACACCTCGACTACAAGGATGTTCGATGAGGTCCAACGTGACAAACCGCCTCGGACCGCTTGGCGCTTTATCCTCCTCACCCTGGACCGACTCAACCTCCTTGCAATTGCCTCGCTATCCCGCACCTATATGGACCTGGACCTGCAATCTGCTCGGAACCTGAACAGCCGCCACCGTCGTAGTGCTTTGATTCACTGGATTCTTCCGTTCGCCCGTTCAGGAAAATAACTCCACCTCGCGGGATCTGTCGACTTGTTCTTTTTACCTCTCAATACCCTTCCTTCGTACATTTTTGATTGTCACGCCGCCTTGTTTCGCTTTGGGTATAGGATAATTCAATTCATTTCTCTAGCGCTGACCCACAGACTTTGATTTGCGCTCATTCCTGGCCTCCTCCGGTAGCCATTTGTCCATCCCCACTGTCCGCCGTTCTCCCGCTTCGACCACCTCATGGAGTACCCACCTCCTGGATTGCTGGCTGCTTCCACACCCCCACCTACGAGACAGGCATTCTTCAACCCGTATGACATTCCTGTGAGCCCACATCTGGGACCTGGTCGTCCCCAACCTCACCGGTAACCAGAACTATCTGTGGCTCCATTGGATGGTTTGTTCTTCCGCCTGGGTGGTGGAATCACTCTGCTGCCATCCTAAATCCCTCTGAAGAAGTCCCACCCGACCACTACTTTGAAAACATTTCCGCTCGGAATATCTACATTCAGATGCGTCGAGCCATACATGAGTTCAACATCCTGCAGTGGAAGGTTGCACGAGGAGTCTCCCTTCTTCAATTTGTGGGACCATCCATCACCAGGCGATTCTGCTTCCATACGCGCCCTCAGCACCCCTTGACTTGGGCGTTACTGCGGACGCCGCCCTCCTATCTCGACGACAACCTCATCGCAACTTTGATTCCCCCACACCACCATGAATCCCCTCCCACACCGGCCACACCGGCTACACACCACACACACACCGGCATCCTCTTGATGGACATGGCCTCTTATACATGGACATCTATGCTCAGCGACTGGTTCATTCTCCACCTGCCGCTGACTCCACAGACGCTCCCCCTTCCTGAGTTGAGAGGACTCCGACCTGGATTTCTCGCTCCAGGTTATACCTATTCTTGGACCCGGAATTCTTCAGACTGAACCATCGTCCCACCGCTGGCTGCCTTCACCCTCCCTCGTTGTCATGTGTCGTGGCCGCACTTCAAGCAGCTCATCGGACCATCATCGAAGTCGAGGACATCGTGATCGTCGCACCTCTCGCAGGTCTCGGGCCCCACGTCGAAAGTCTATACGGGACTTCCTGTCGAGACTCCCCCTTCTACCTCCAATACTTTTGAGGCCCGCTCATATTATCAAATCCTGGCAGTCTGATGACATCTACCTGGACCGCAACCAGGAGTGAGTACAAGTTGACCTTCGTTCCCTCGTCGAGTCATCGCCACAGCCAGGAGTCGTGATCTTCATATTGATCATCAGCCCATCGAGGATGCACGTCTTGAGTCGGAAGCAGGAGAGCTGGACACTCCGGTTGGTGGCCAATGGCCGTTTGGTCCAATTTGAAGGTTTCCGTAATCGACAGGAAGCTTATCTCTGGTCTTCTTTGTCTCGCAAGATCTTCATTAAGAGCACTGATGTGGACATCGCCCGAACCACCGGTCACCTTCGTCCTCCTGCCCAAAAGGACGATTGGGATGAGAAGCGCAAGGGCTTGGATCGGTTGGTTGACAAGGTCTTTGATCTTCTTCGGCAACAAATGCCCAAGCACACCACTGATTCTGAAGCCCTTCAAGACCAGGTCGAACAACTCCTCAAAGAGAACGAGAAGCTCAAAGCAGCCTCCGCCCAGCCCCGACTCCTGCGCGCAGCCCTTCCGACCCTGGTACCCCGGAGGACCCTGAGAAGATTCGCCTGGAAAAGTCCAAGACCAAGGTCACTCCTCCCTTGCCACGCTCGGGTTGCACTTTGGACAGTCACTTCCGCGCACCACCTTCGGACGCCGACAAACACAAGAAGAACAAGTCTTCCTCGGCAGATCCTATGCAGCCTTACATCATTGGTGATCGCCGACCAGTTTTGGAAGACTCCGCCCCCAGAAAACCGACCAAGGGTGAGATTGACAAGTGGATCAAGGCCAACATCAAGGAGAAGGCTCGCCTTATCAAATTGGAGGAATGCGCCACCGAGATCAACTCGATCCTCTCCACCCTCAAGGCTGACAATTTGGACACACCCAATCTCTGCCGCCTGGTCATTGCTTGGGGAATTGGATCCCAGCCTTGCTCAGAAAGCTACTGCGAACGCGCTTGTTCGCATGTTGGCAACCACCAACGCCCTGGTCGCCTGATGGTTCCTGCATCACTACCCGGCGGAATTTTGTGACCGCCATCTCATCCGGAGACTTTCGAAGAGCGACGTGATCGAATCAACAGGCAAGAGACTCTAAGCTTCGCACCGGTGCGACACCGGTCAACGGGCACAGTGGCGCCATATGACCCTACCACACGGCCGACCTCAAGCGCCGATGATGCTCTCACTGGACACAGACCTTCAAGGTGAAATATGGGCAACTTCGAGGAGACAATAGGAAGCACGTACGGCCTCCAGAGAAAATTTCTCTATCAGGCGTGATCCTCGTTGGAGAGGGCGGCGAAGTCGAAGAGGACGTCAAAGACATAGATCCCGAATCTGGAACAGGTACGTCCACACCTGCAACAGGAGGAGAGAGTGGTATACAGATCAACGCCGGGCTGGGTTGAAGGTACAGCCGAATGGACTGGGCCAGTAGCCGTAGCGGCGTGGCACTCCTGGCTGGAAAGATTGTGAACCAACCCGTCGATCAGTTGATGCTGTCTGTCGGGAGTGAGATTGCGAAGTGCAGGATTCCCGGAAGCATTGGATCATACTCTGGATCAGGAGGTCTAAGCGCGCTCCAGGTTGTCAACAGCCTGGCGTTTGACGGTGGGAGGATGAGAGTC